TGCGGGCCACAGATGACGTCCCGTTGTCTTCCTCTACATCTCAGTGTTTATGGCAGCATCTCCTCTGAACTCTGAGTACCCCGTTTTAGCTAGGCTCCCAGGATTCTCTTGTCTTCATCTCCCAGCTCTGAGGTTAGTAGTGTGTGCCATTAAACCTGGCTTTTAAGCTAGCATTGGGGATTCAAACTCAAGCCCTCACACTTATGTAGCAAACACTGTTTTATCCACTGACCCATTTCCCCAGCCTTGAAATTTACATTTGATTAGGTAAAACACTGGTCTCAGTATAAAGGTCTTATTCTGATTTTTGAGCCCAACTGAAAGCAACGTTTGTGTGCGTGAATGTAGACTTCTGTTTTTCTGATCATAAGTAGGTGTCTTAAGTAAAAAAAAATAATAATTTGATTGTTCCACTCAGACCTCTTATTATGTATCTAATTAAGACCTATTGTTGAATGGAATTTCAAAAATGAGAGCACTGCATTGAAGTCTAACTAAATTGACATCTAGATTATCCTCTTGCTCCTCCCTGGCCCAAGCAAATGAGATGCTAACCCCAAAGCTTTTTGGTTATTCGTAACAGCAACAAGATTCTCATCATCTACATGTTGTATAAGACAAACCATTCAGTCTGGAATATCTTATGTTGGTTTCAATTTGTTACATTTGTAACAACATTGATGCAAGGAGGTGGTTAGATCTGGATTTCCTTGTAGTGGGAGGAAAAATACTGACGTTTTATCTAATGCTTATTTTCTCACTTGAAAAAATGATGACAATAATAAATTTACTCTAGTATTGTTGAAAATTCTTAAATGATTTATATATCTATATATCTATATATCTATATATCTATATCTATATCTATCTATATATAATCTGTTTTTAGAGCTTTGGTAGAATTATCCTCTTATTAATAATGTTATAATAAAATATTATTGAAAGAATTGCTATATTAATATTTACAATTATAAAAATATCAGTTTTATTAGAAGATTGTAGATTATTAGCAAGTACCACTTTTGGTAGTATTCATTTTTACTTATTATTTTTGAAAATGCAGCTATTGCATGCTAAGAATTAAAAGCAAACAAGGCATATGCAACTAAATAACAATATCTGTTCTGCCAACCATAACATTAATCAGGTAGTCAAAGTACTAATTACCTTGGAAGTACTAATTACTTGGAAGTTAGAGGCAACTTCCAAGGCATTGGCTGCCTTATAATTGTGCTCACAATAGAGACTGTGTCTTTGAAGTTTCCTTTTAAGTCTTTGGAGTTATCAGTCTCTCTGCTTTGGGTTATTTTTTCATATTTTATAACTTTGTTATGCTTGTTTTTTAAGCCAAAGAGTAGATTTTAAGAAGTTCTTGTCTCCAACCCCTAATCTCATTTTTGGTCTAAACTCATCAAACATTCTGAAACAGAACAGCCCTTAACACCAGAAACATTCACAGGTTGTTTTGCAGCTGGTTTCCCAGCTTCTTTCAATGTTCTCCCCCCTCACCCTCCCACCCGGAGCTCTAGACTCCTTTGGCCCTTACTTAGCCAGATTCTTGTTTTCTTGTTGCTCTAGCACTGAGTTTCTGTTCTTGGCCTCAGGTGAGACTCATGGCAGTTTTCTACTTTCCCTTTGCTTCAGCGATGAGACAAACACTGCTGTCTGTACTTCTCATCCGTAAATGTCTGCAGATTTCCATGGAATACAGAGAGAATCTACTGGCACATATTTGTAGTGACATTGTGAGTTGAAGTTTTAGTGCATTTTTATTTTGTATAGCATCTGCCGTACATTTATACTCTAGGCCCAAATTTAGCACTGATGAGTAATCCTATAGCTATCCTTGCTTTGATTTCTGATGACCACTCTTCCTATTTTCTGTAAAAGAAGCACAATCAGTTTGTTTGGCTAGACTAAAATATAACCCTCCGACACTGGAAAAATACTGGAAAATATATTAATCATTTGTTTTGCTACTACTTCATTTAAATTCTACTTACTTATATATAACTTATTCTAATAATCTAATTAAAAAGATTGCCTGATAAATTGTATTTTGCTGATCAGAATATTATTTCAATTGGATTAAAGGGAGGCAACTTAACGGCTGATCTTGAATAGGATGTTTTCTTTCATGTTCCCTCTCAGAAGTTAAGTGGAAGCAAAAAAATGCAGTCCACAGAGAGGCTGAGTTAGCCCGATGTATCTTTTTGTGATGATCCATAAAAATTTCCTTACACAGGTCATCTTTCTGGATCACAAAGTTTGGTTCCTGAGACTCATCCCTAAGGCAAAGAGCATCGTCAGATCTGTTCTCTTGTAGTATGAATTTCCTGGCGAGTTTCATTTTTCACCAATTCAGTTTCTCCATGGCTCACATAGAATCCTTTTTACAGTTTTGGAGCAGTTTTAGTGCTAACAGATCTATGAACCATTAAATGAGCTGGTGATTTATGTTTCCTTTCAGATCTGTTAAGTCTGCCTCAGATATAAAAAGAAAATGGGCAAGCAGCGAAAGTTTTGATAACAGTAGAACCAAACCTTAGATTTACCGAGTGTTTTCTTATCTGGATTTTTTTTTATACAATGTATTTGATCATGGTTTACCCTGCCCACTCCTCTTACAATGGCACACCTCCTTCCGTTCCCAACCTTATGCTTATTCTATGAACTTAAAAAAAAAAAGTCAAAATAGACAAACAATAAAACAAAAAATGGCAAAATGAAATGATAAAAAGTACACACACATACACACAAGAACACACACACGAACACACACACACACACACACATCAAACCATGGCTGATTATTCCTGGCCATAGGTATGAGGTCTGTTCTGGAGTGTGATTTTATATACCCAATAATATACCCAATGATACTTGACTGGAGAAAACTTTATTTGTGTATTTATTTATTTATTTATTTATCAAGTATAAAAGAGAAAACAATACAAGCAAACCTTGTCTTACTCTTTTTAAATTCCTGTATTTGATTGAGTACATCAAAGACAGATTAACTGAGAACATGCATTTTATGTAATACTTTTACAGATACAAAAAAAAGACGTTGTGAGATAAGAAATATCAAAAAAAGCAAAGAAGCAACTAGTACCAAGAGCTTTTCAATTTTAAAAATAAAGAATGCTAAACTGTGGAAACTGAAAATATGAAGGGAAAGGAGAGGTTTAGCTTGTGGGTATAAGACTTTTTGAGAAAGTAAAATGCATGGTGGAAATAAAAGAAAATCTGAGGGTCCAATTGCTCGGCTTGCTTAGCACATGCATTTTAGCCAATACTTCAAGTGTCAAGTGCTCTGTATAGCCTCTTCTCCATCCTTCAGGAATGGTTTCCTATACAGGAGTAATTTGGTTTGTTTGGGAGACTTTCCCACATTTATTGTTCCTTTGTTATCAAATCATTAGCTCAAAATACCTGTGATGGCTGTTCTGTCTTGTCAACTTGACTACATCTGGAATTCACTACAATCAAGAAATGAAACACACATCTGTGATTCAGATCTCGAGGCATAGCAGCCATGAAAAACTTAGGCCCAGACAAGGTAGTACATGCCTTTATTCCCGGGAGACAAAGGCAAACAGATCTCTGTGTTCAAGGCCAGGATGAGACAGTGCAAGTTCCTAATTCAGGTGTGGTGGTACATACCTTTAATCTGGCTCATACCTTCTGCTGGAAGCCTCCAAAAGGAGAATGGGAAAAGGAAGTCTTCGTTCTTCACCTGCTTGTACTTACTTGCCAGCACATCTGTTAGATCCTACTTCAGGATTCCAGCTTATACTACTGAAGACCAGCTGAAACACCTTGTCTCATGGACCTGAACATGGTTCTTGGACTTCTCACTCACAGTTGCCCATTGTTCAGTTAGCTGGATGACAGACTGTAAGTCATTCCAATAATTTCACTTAATATACATAGACATTCCATAAGTTCTGTGACCATAGAGAATCCTGACTAATACAATACCTAATACACCTAAGTGATGTAATCTGGGGTAGAGTGTTCTGAAGCCCTTTATTTCCTCTGTCTAAAACATCGGTGTAAGCTATCTTAAAGGTAAAGCTAAATTAGTGTCTGGTAAAAAGAATCTGGTTAGTGACATAGTAGTAAGATCTCTGCAAAGGAGAGGATGGACATTAGGAGAAAATACACTGAAAAAAAGCAAATGTAACTACACTGCCCCAAATTCAATAAATTTATCTTTCAATCTTTTGAATATGTCAGCCCAATAAAATGGTAGAATCTCAATTGTTGGATGGATAGCAGTAGTATCTTCTGTTCACATGTACAAAATAGATACTTTGTGTCATATAATCCGTAGTAAAACAATATTTTCTCACAGTGACTGTACATGGTCCTCTGTGTTGAATAGTTATATCTACAAGGTGAAATTTTTCAGCCATAAGTAAGAAATAGTCTATAAGTTTTTATGGAGTTTTTGTTTTTCCTAGGAATTAGTATCTCACAGGAAGGATAGTGGGATTTTTCTTGTCTGGTCATAGATACCATCCTTTCATCCATCTGCTCCCATGACTTTACTTGATGATCATATTTATAGAGACTACTATAGTTCGTATTTTTGATACTATCTACGTATTAACATTACAACAATCAGACTGACGACATAACAAGACAAATGTCTAGACAATAGTTGTATGGCAGTATAAAAATAGTAACTCACTTCAGAAAACCACCAGGCTGATAAGAAAGATAAGTTTGAAACAAAGCCAATCACAGAAGATCAGAGGTTGAGCAGAATAGATTGAGAGACAAAGAAAGAGGAAGATTTGTATTAAAAAAACATTTTCTTTCTCAAACAAGTGAGAGTCTAAAAGAGACAGAATAGAGAAGGAAGTAGTTTCTTGATGTGTTGTCTTGGGAAAATCTGTCTACTTTGTGATGTCATCTGCTTCTAGGACCATGAACTGACTCTGAAATCCTTTCTATGAGGTCACCTGTAGAGACAGCATTCCATCTGTTCTGGGTATGTTGGTGAGTCTAGCTAGGCCATGGTTCACATGAACGTAAGAGGAGTATCTTTTACTATAATGAAAGTGCAGGTGGTAAGGAGTTCTGCATAAGGTCCTTTCCAGCAAGGTAACAGTGCATAGTATTTCCTAAGCTTCTTGATATCTACTTGACTTCTTGATTGAAAGTGATGGAAAGAATATACTTTATTCACATATAGTATATCCCAAATACACTAGCTAGTTCCTATGTTTTCCAAACCTTCGCATCTAATTGTTCACTCATGTGCCTGGAAAGTCCATTCAATCTGGGAATGGAAGATTTGGAGATGCCACTAAGTGTAAAGTCCCCCAAAGCATTTCTGCTTCATAACAGAAGTTTTTATTTTCATAAAGGCTCATTTTGGTTATTTAAGTTCATTTCATGACTGAAAATCTTCCCTATAAATATTCTAGAATTTTTCAGTTTTGATTGTATGTCTTGCCAGGATTATTAAGGATGTTATCAGTTGTAGAAATTTTTAATCTGAAACTGAAGTTTCTACCCTTCTTTTGATCATTTATTTAGTTCCTGGATAAAAGACACACATAACCCTTATATTTACAATAAGCCTTAAACAGTACAAGGACTGGGCAGATATTTGCCATCTATGCTATTAGAATCTACTTTCCTATTGATAACCTTAAGTTATTACGTACTTTGTGTCTTCTGTGTTCCTCTTAAATCCAATTGGCCAGCCCTCAGGGCCACATTTTCATGTCTCACTTAACCCATGGCGCCTTCTCCTTCCTCATCTACCTTCTTCTCCTCATGGTCCTTCTCTAACTCCAAGCCCAGGATACCTAAACCCCACAGATGTCTCTTCTTCCTACCTATTGGCTATGGGTATCTTTATTTACCAATCAGAAATAACTTGGGGGTCAGGGTCACTTGGGTCTATGTGCAGAATCTAGGTCTTAGGGGCCCACACTCAGCATTACAATAGACTGTAGGACCAAACCTCATCAATCAGTTATAAAATTATTTTGAGTATAAAATAGTTATTGTGAACAAATAGCTTACTTGTGATAAAAAATGAGTTTCTTAGTCAAAGTCACTCTGTAACAGAATGTCAAGGTCAGGAATAGTCGATTACTACTATCTTTGCCACTCTCATAGAGTCAGCATGAATACTTGGATTACATTCAGTTCATCCACTGAGCATGCAGGGAATAATTTAACAGTGTGAGTAGCTGAATGCAGGAGATAGACGTATCTATGATCATGTGAAATGTCAGGGCACTCTGACACTTCCTAAGGACAGAATGGTTTCCTTCTGAAAGTTTATTATATTTACAGTTAGTAAAACAGCAACAAATTTGGCCAGAAAGTGAATACTGGAGCGGAATCAGTTATGTTTCAGTTCCTTAATTCTCACCTTCTTATACATGTGTCTTATCCAGTGAGACATAAGTGCAGACAAATGAGTCAAATCAAATAGATGACAAGATGATTTTCTGGCCAAAGGTATGAACCATCTGCCAATTGTTCGACAAATCTTATGTATTTTTCCCCCACAGGTATCCTTGAATGTAAGTAATACTAATCAGGAAAAGTAAGCTTGTAAACTGGGTTGAGAAAGGAAGCAAGGGGTCAATTTCCAGCTGCCTACAACAACAACTTTGTCAGTTCTTTTATTTTTAAGACTTTTCATTTTCCCAGGTACAGGCTTGATGGTGGATAAATTGTGATTTTTTAGAAAGAAAAGGAATCAAGTTGAAACATTAGCATTGCATGCCCATTTATAATAGGGCTATCAGAAAACTTAAAACTCCCTAGGTTTCAAACACCAGTATGAGCACGAAAGACTCCAAAATCCTGTATGGAATAATGAATTGGTGCAATTTCCTTGTTGCCCAGTGAGCATGTTCCAGTGACAGATTTCATTTTACTGTCCACACTTCATAGGCAGATATTTGTGAGACTTATATAAAAATTTCTTGCCATTGGCTGACACGGATGTCTTTAATAAGACGTCAGCTAGAGCTTTAGGAGTAGCAGGATACTCTGAGCAATGGTGATCCAACCTGATGAAATCACATTTCTCCGAAGTTCTGTGACTTGGGCTAATACATTGAACTAGTAAGGAAAGAAGAGCAAAACAAACAAAATTAATTTACAATTTTTATGTGCACAGGAAGAGTTCAAGGAAAAAACTGCAGCCAAGATCTTAATATATATACCTTAAACAACAACAAAAAAGAAAAAAAAGAAAAAGAAAAACTATCAAGACATAGAAAAAGCTTCTAGAGGGGGTAATTTAAGGGAGTTGCCTGGGATATATGTGGGGAAATCTAGCTGACAAGGACATACCAAAGGTTGGATTGCACAAATTCATTTTAGTTTCTGCTTGCAGCCCCCAGTTATAGGATTTTCTTCTCTTCTATGTACAGGGGAGGGTACTCAGCACATGAAAAGTATTATCTCCTGGGGCAGCCAGAAAGCCTGTCTGTTAGCATGTGAGAAGCATCAACTCCAGGGGACATCAGAGAGCTCATTCCTCAGGTGCTTTTGCTCAGTCCTTTAAAAGGCTTTTTAGTTCCTGTAAAATAGCAAGCATTGTGCTTCAAGGCAGTGTGTTTTTCAATCCCTCCAGAAGTGCTATGCCTAAGTGTTTTGTATACACTTTTTCCTGCACTGTCACGGAGAAACTTGTGTGCTAGTTATCAATCACCTATGTTTTATAGTTAAACAAAGAAAAGCTTTAAAGTATAATGAAGTTAAATATTTGGGCAAGGTAACAGTGACATTTGGTCTTATTTCAATGTTGGTCCTAACCTAGAATATTTAATTGTATTACAACATTTACAGACATGACTTAAGTATTAAGCATTAAGGCAGGTAAGAATTTTATTCTGGTTGTTAAGAGAAAAAGTTAGAGAGGAAGTAATTTGCCTCTGACCAATTAATTAGAACATGACAACTTTTATAATTCAAAGGTGTGCGTTGGACTATGAAGATTTTGTCTGTCAAAGTGATTTGAATCCATTCTACACTAACAATATGTATTTTGGACTTAATACACAACCATTATTATATAACTAAAATTTTATAATATATAAATTGGGTTCTCATCTATAGGTCCTGATTCACAATTTCCTCCTTGATTCAATAATTTTTTCTTCTCCAAGGCATGCCATAGAAACTTTAACTGCCCTGAACCTTGTCCTTGAATTGTTCATAAATTCTCTGACTTCCCGTTGTCTGATAAGAGGTCATAAGACTCAGTTTTTTTCCAGATGTTGCTTGCCTGGCACTGTGCATGTTGGAATTGTGTACAATGTAGCTGAAGAACAACGGGCCTTGCTTGGAATTTCTCTCCTTGCTCGAAGGCATCAGGGCACACTCTACCTGTGTAATCTTATTTTGACATATTTGTCAATGGTTTTTATCATGCCAATGCAATGAAGTCTCTCTTAAAATCAGAAGGGACAAAGGAGGTTTCATGTGGACAGTTCTGGGTGGAGATTTACCCAGAGAGAGAGTGTGAAGCTCTGATTGCTCACCCCTCACTCCACAGATCTCTCTTCTGTCCTCTGTAGCATTTGGATAGCTGACTGTTAAGCCTGTTTCCTTGTGTCCTGGAAATTGTTCGTGAAAAAGGACAAAACTTGAGGAAAGGGCTGTGGGAAACTTGGTGTACAGCCAGTTGGTCAAAAGCACAGGCAAAGCTACCTGTAGTTTGCGAATGCCATTCTAATTGATGGGTCTGTACCCAGCTGTCAGCCAAGACAGCTCTAACTCCAGAGTGTTAAATCGAGGTTTTCTAGATAACGTGCTGGTTCTTCTCTCTTTTCTCACCACCCTGAAGTATTGTATGGCGATTATGTGTGCTACTGTCACCCTTAACAGCTCTGCAACCTCTAAAGCAGCAGTTCTCAACCTGTGGGTCGCAGCCCCCACCTCTGAGGTAGCAGATAATGCTGCATATCAGATATTTACACTATGATTCATAACAGCAGGAAAATTACAGTTATGAAGTAGCCATGAAATAATCTTACAGTTGGGGGTCACGACACGAGGAACTGTATTAAAAGGGTCTCAGCATTAGGAAGGTTGACAGTCACTACTCTATATTCAGATTTCTGGTAAATATGCTTTTGTATCTTGACCTAGGAATTCACCAGCCTCACTTTTTCCACATACAGTGATGTTTATGACTCTGTATATTAAACAGCATTTGCTCTATTCCTGCTACAGGCTTACCTACACTGGCATCACCAGTAAGTGCTTCTAGTTTCATTTCATGGCACAAGCATTCTAATACTGGGTCACAGCACACCATTAGTGATAGGAAATGTTGGCAGTTGGGACAATTATTTAAATATAGGATTGGGTTAGTACAGTTGTTCTATAAGGTCTCTTCTAAGTTTGTGACTTTTAAGAAGCACATTTATGTCTATGACCTTAGGAAATATTAAGGAAATAATATTGCTTATGTAAATTTAAATCTATTTAATGTTGAAGATGTTGGTATGATAGCTTATATCCCACCCTCATATATACATATAAATGTATGTATGTATGTATGTATGTATGTATGTACATATGTATGTATGTACGCATACATGTACATATGTATGTATGTATGTATGCATGTATCTGCTGAAACATAACCCTCAAGGATATTCAGATGTGGTTGCCATTTGTTAAGTGATGACTATGAAATCAGAGCTCTCATAGATGGGATGATTACCACCATATAAGCCAGGCCACAGGGAGCTTGCTTGTTCCTACTAGCATTTGAGAGTGGCTTGCACCTTAATCTTGGAATTCCATTATATAAAATCAAGTTCTCTTGTTATTCTTACCGAGTCTATAATTTTAAACATTTATTTGCATGTATATATGTGTGTTTGTGGATGGATGCAACACATGTGTGGGTGCCTGTGAAATCCAGAAGAGGGTGTGGGAGCCTGTGGACAGCTGGCCCTGAGTAACCACGCAGTGCTCAGAACTGAAATCAGGCGTTTCAGGGGTGTAGGATGTGCTTTTAACTGTTGAAACGTCTCTCTAGGCCCCAAGCTATAATCTTTCATTGTAATGGCCCACAATGGACTAATTTCAGCATAGCGATTACAATTTCAAGC